TTCACATATATATAATATATATAATATATATATATAGTATATCGGTATATGATGCATATATAAATATATTGTAAGATACACTATGTAAGATAACATATTTAATACACAATATATAATATATAATATATAATACAAAAGATATAATATAATATATAATATAAATTATATAATATTAATATATATATATATAATATAATGTATAATATCTAATATATAACATAATATATAGTTTATTATATATAATATATGATATAATATATAGAATATAATATATAATATATATAATATATGATATATGTAATATAATATATATAATATAATATATTATATATATAATATAATATATAACATATAATATATAGTGTATCATATATATATATGATATACAGTATATGTACACAAGTTTGACAAGCTTGGATGTATAGCCCCCAACAGATTCAGTTAAACGTGCCGGAAAGTCTCTCTGATCCTACTTTGAAGGTAAGCATGTTTTTTCACCTTTCTAGTATACTCACCAGTAACACCATTTGTTTTGCACCAAATCCTATGGCTAAGATTAAAAATCACATATTTTGCTAACATTATTAACCATCATTAACCATAAATGGTGGATTTTCCCATGACAAATCTGTTGAATTAGCATCCCAGTTGATGGCTGCGCTGAGGTTGTCCAAGGCACTGCAAGAGGATTCTAAAGCTCGAGTCAAGGCACCAAAATTTTCATGGCTGGTGATTTTTCACCAACAATGAATGGCTGGGGGTTCAACCACCAACAAATAATAAATGTGTATACTGTATATATATATATATTTGTATATATATATACACATATGTATATATAGTGGATATTAACCAACTCAATATGATTTATGTGTCTGTGTCTGTTTGAAAAGGGTTGGATACTATTCAAACGCGTTCTGAAATGTTGAACAAGACTGAATCCGGCTTTGTCCAAACCTCAGGTTTTTTCGGAAAGCAACGTCATTGTACAGTTTGTTGTATGTTTTTATTTGGGTGGGTCCACCCCCAGTGATGTCCCCCTCCAAACTATCATAGAAACCTGGATTTGTGAAGATGAATTCATATGAATTACCATTTGGAAAAGTTAATAAGATGTAAATAAGATGTAAATAAGATGTAAATAAGATGTAAATAAGATGTAAATAAGATGTAAATAAGATGTAAATAAGATGTATACTGTATACCATATAAATTTGGAATTTCTCGGATTACCATGGCCGCCATGACCCCCTACTGTCAAAACATCTAGTTAAACCCTTCGGAGAAATCCGAGACATCTCCGTTCGAAAGCGGTGAATTTTCAGTTCGCCAGGTTTTGGGGTCCCTGCTACATACGGCAGACATCTCCAATCCTATGAAGCCCTGGGTGCGCCGATGGGAGGAATAGGAGGAATAGCCCAATGTCTGGCGTTGAAGGTTGGAATATGATGTGAATATGATGTGAATATGATGTGAATAATAAATGATGTGTTTCTGAATTTTTAGCCTGGGGTAAATTTTGGGGTACCCTATTTCGGAGCAATTTTTCAAGGGCTCAACATTGAGACTATTAATCGGGTGGTAATACTATCGCTTGCCCAAAATGACCTAATCTGTGGGTAGTGGTCGTCCATTGGTTCCTGATTTTTTCAGACCAGTATCAAGCTTCGGAGTTTGATGAACGGGGAAAATTGGATAGTCCCGTAGCTGTTGCAGATTCATGACTGTTGATAGTCCTTGTATTTACAGAACTATCACCACCGATTTTCTAACTCAATTCTACTAAAAACCAGTGATACATGCTTTTGAAGATTTTTTGTTCCGTCATTTCTCATCATGTATCTCACTTGAAACCGCCTCAAAGTGCCTTGCTGCAGGACATCTGCGCCTACTTAGCAGATCGATGTTTGGAAGAGTTCTTTGCCCAAGGCGACCAAGAAAAGGACCGAGGGTTGGGGTTGTTAATCCCAGGAATCGCCATCAATAGTTGCTGCTTACTATATTTATCTAACATTATCTAACCATTTCTAACCAACAAAAAACTCGATATTCAGCTGTTTTGTTGAGAATGAATATGGATATATGATGATGATTCACTGCGATAGATTTTTCATTACTCGTGATGATATGTGGCAAATGGCAACGCCAAGGTTATGAACCGCCGAGGCCAGGAAAGAACTGTGACGTCCGGTCATTTTTTTGTTGGGAAAGCAACATACCCGGCCTGGTGAACTAACATAGCAATGGAAAGATCCACCATTTTTCATGGGAAAATCCACTATAAATGGATATAAATGGCCATTTTCCATTGCTATGTTAGTTCACCAGAGGGTATTTTTGATGTGCACAAGTTTTTGTTTGCACAGCCACAGAAGCAATGAAAGCACGTGATACATTAAAATCATTAAAACTGCAAAGACCGGATGCTATGATGTAATCCTTATTGATTCAAACAAGGGAATTTGGTGTCCCAAAATGGGGGACCCTCCCTGGAACTGTTTTCTTTTGAGCTTTTGAGCTCGGTAAGCGGTGATTGGAGTTTTTCAGTATGCTGGGATTATCTGCTACTCACGTCAAACGACTTCACGACGTCACTGTGACTTTATTTGTGTTGTCTGAAAATACCCTCTGGTAAACTAACATAGCTATTGAAAATGGCCATTTATATCCATTTATAGTGGATTTACCCATTAAAAATAGTGATTTTCCATAGCTATGTTAGTTTACCAGAGGGTACCCGTAAACATGGCCATGAAATCACATCAAGCACCCCTGACTCCAAGCCGAGAGCAAGATGGATATCACTGTCACTGCATTGTGTATGTTCCCTTCGAAGTTGTACTGTGATATTTAAAAGGGGCATCTTCAGCAAACATATATCATATGTATGTAAAACAAACATATACAGCTTATAAACCAACTTGAACACACATATATATATACATATATATATATAAACATATATATATAAACATATATATATATATAAACATATATATATATATATAAACATATATATAACTATATATGTACAATATCATTAAAGAGCCCTGGGATACTCCTCAAAGGGCTACTCCTAAAAGTTGCTATCCGTGCAAAAAAAAATGCTGAAAAAATCTCAAAAAATCACAACAAATATCAAAAAACAACTGAACAAATACAATCCACGCATTCCAAAACAAATTCCAAAAAATAACAAACGCAAAATAAACAGGAAAAAACGGAACACATTCCACAAAAAAAAACAGAATTAACATATTCAAAAAAAACGAAAAGGTTTGAACGAAAAATCAGGAAAAAATGAAAAACAAAATGAACATAAAAAAAACAAAACAAAACAAATCAGAATAAAAACAACAAACAATCAAAATAACAATTCAAAACAACCCAAAAAAACACACAAAAAATAATAACACATATAAAAAACCATCAAATAAACAAAAAAAACTCATAAAAAACAACAGTACAAATAAAAAATACATAGTTAAAAAAACAAAAAACAAAAAAAAGAAAATCTAAAAAACAAAAACAAATCATTTTTTTAAAGAATAACAACAAATCTTGAAATCATCATTTAAAAAATCTTAAAAAAGCATGAACGAACCAGTATTTTTTGGAATGAAACATAATTATTTGGAATATTTTGGAATGAAATATTTCGAATTAAGATTAATAAACAGGAATGTTCCCGGAGTGTCCCTATGAGGAATGTCCCTCTCAGAGAAGATAATATATATCAGATATATACACATATACATATAATATATATATATATTAATATATATATATATACATACCCTGCGAACCCAAACCCTGGAAATTTGTAGGGTCTGACTCGAAACCTCAGGTATGTTTGACGAAATGAAAATACCTCGGGTTTCGCACGCAAACCTCGGTTTTTCTTTTTCAAACCCGTACTGAACCCGTATAACCCGTATTAACCCCGTATTTTACCCGTACTAACCCCGTATTTTAGTATTGGTTTGGAAAACCTCGGATTTGCCAGAAACCTCACGTTTTACCACTGACCCTACGTTTTTTGCGGCTTTGGGTTCCTAGGGTATATATATAAATATACACACATAATTCACATAATGCTGGCTGTCCCCAGTTGGACCTTTTACCAACTTCCAACGGATCTGACCCATGGATGCGCCGTTCCGCCGTTTCTTCAAGGAGCTTGGCATTCCAGTGCAGATGTTGAACGACCGTGAGAAGGTCAATCGCTGTACCTCCCAGGTGGGAGTTCACAGTGTGGTGAGAGGGGGGAACACTTTCAAAAAAATGATATGGCTCTGGATCAATACCTATAAGTACCATTTTTAGGGGGATGAACATCCATAAATCCCAGCTATTTTGATGTGAACAGAAGGGGTACAAGGGTTTTGACCCATCCCCATATGACACCGGAGAAATCTGGATGGGGTGTTTTCTCATGGTGGCTGACTCTGTGTGAAGATGATTGATGTTGATCATGTGGATGTGTGTTCACAGTGTTTCAAGTCACATTTGAGAGCCATTTGATTGAAGATCATTTCAGAAGCCAAGATTTGGAAATCATGGTTGGTCGACTTCGATCGGTTTTTTGGTTTCAATTCGATTGGATTTTCCATCTATCTTCCAGTCATTTAGATTTTCAGACACTCACCATTTGTACCCTCTGGTAAACTAACATAACTATGGAAAATCACCATTTTTAATGGGAAAACTCACTATTTCTATGGCCATTTTCAATAGCTATGTTAGTTTACCAGAGGGTAGATGGTTTTCCGAGGGAAACCATGGGGTTTCCGATTCTTTTTGCATCTTTTGCAAGTTTCCGATCCAGGTCATGTTTGATAAGATGACCTCGACTGAAGAATAGTCGTGAAAAAGAAACTTGCTATCTACAGTCTACACGTTATATAATATATATATGTTATGTATTCTATGCAGACAAATGATCTTATAGATATATAGTATACACACATTATAAACCATATTCGTATCCTATGTAATTATGTATCTTCTATGTATGTTTAATACAGTATAGGATATTGTATGTATGTATATAAGAATTTAAAATAATACACTGCAGACCATCTGCATATATTGTAACATAAAAAATAATTAGATACTTGTAAATTCATATATATATAAGATCATTATATCATTTGTCTGCATAGAATACATAACATACATATTATATTACGTTCAGACTGTAGATAGCAGGTTTCCATGCACGACTATTATATATATATACATATATTATACTATGTACACATGATTATACATATGCGTATAATATAAAGACTTATGAAACATGTTGGTTGATGTTTTTGTATCCTCCATGGCAGGTGGGTTTCATCGAGTTCGTCATCACACCCTTGGCCGAACAGATGGTGCCGTCCCACAAAACGTTTCCAGTTGATGTAGATCCAAAGGTAGACGGCCGGGGGGGGGTGACCAACAAAAATCAACATTAGAATCATATGTTTATATAATTATACATATATGTATATACATATATATATACATATATATAAGATAAGTCGACTGTACATTGTATATACATATATATATATATATGCAAATGTAATGTAATGATATGTAATGTGATGTTAAGTGTAGTTGTAATTGTAAATGTATTGGAATGTAATGTATTTATTGTCAATAGTCGAACTTCGCACACCGGCGATGCCATAAGGGTTATGAATGTGGGTGTTGATCACGTGCGCGAGGGTTTGGCACAATGTAAAATTATTGACATACCCTAGCTTGCAACCATCTTACCACACATTCAAATCTCATGTTTCATTCCCGAAAATCGTCATGTAGGCGGTGTTGAAAAGCATCGCAAAGACTTGTGTTTTTGAAGACCTGGAATGCAAAACCATAGTATTTACGCTGTTTTTGGCACTTGGAATCAAAATAAGGCAGTATTTGCAGTGTTTTTTTTTTGCATACCTCACTAATGCCAAACACACTGCTATTTACGCAGTTTTTGAGCATGTTGACAGATAATGTGTATTCCATTTCCTGCTATTGACAGATAATGTGGGAGAGTAGTGGGTTTGTCCGAAAAATCGAGTGAATACCTCAAATTCCAAAGGATTAAATCATCATCTTTTCATTCTGACAGGATCTAAAAGGGGTCATTTTATGGAAACAGTATTTTTGTACCACCAGTAATGGGAGATCTGAATGTTTGACGGGTCTCATATCTCCCGTCGGGGATATCACCAACAGATATGCCCAAATGATAGGAATGGGTCGAATTAACCAAGAAACAGAATGCTCTTAGCATGCGTAGCACTGCTGAGCGGTTTTCAAATGCTTCCTGTTTAGAAAAAAATGCCCTGCTTTGGATCATAGAACCTTTTTGAATTGAAACAACCAGCTGGGGCAAAGGTGCTGTGTTGACCGCTTTGAATCTCTCTTTCCACTCACCTGACCTTATTCTCACTTTGCACAAGACTTTTTGAAACTTGAATTTGTAGGACTCAACTTTGATGAGCAGTTACACAGTACAGAAACACTCTCTATTACTCCCCAAGGAATTGGTTCAGGCGACAATCATCTCTTTCGAGCCTACAGATTTCTTGAAACCAGGACCCCATCATCCAATATTTGTCATTTGGGTTCCTTTGTCCACTCTATCCCAATTTACTCCATCAGGATCATCTACAACTATGGACAGGTTGTATGGGGGTTTACTTTCCGCAGACATGGACATGAATAGGGAAATAGCAGTGGCAGTGTATTCCTGATTGATCATCATTCTTCAGTGGTGAACAAAAATCACATCACGCAGCTCTGGCCGCCATATTATCCTTTGATGCTTGACGTTGAACGTGCTGAGGTGATTATTTTCCCAACATTGAGTTTTCTGACTCGAAATTTGAGTCCGAGCCCAAGAAAGGGGTGTTTTTTCGGCCATTCTCATGTGAGAATCAAAATGTTAATGAATTTACCCTCTGGTAAACTAACATAGCTATTGAAAATGGACCATTTATAGTTGATTTACCCATAATAAATGGTGATTTTCCATAGTTATGTTAGTTTACCAGAGGGTAATGAATTTAATACAAATTTCACCAGGTCGTGGGAGCAGCTTTCAGATCTTTCAGTGCCACAACATACACAGCCCCACTCCTGTCTCCTTTTTTGGAAAGGAGCCCTGGTCATGTTCAGCAGCAAAATCACGTGGGTATGGATTGTGAACATTCATAAATCCAAACTATGCATAACTATGCTGGTTTTGACCTGACTTCATGTTCCACTCTTTCACAGCATTTCAATTCTGGATGCTTCCAGCTTTCCTGTGCCCAAAGCAGCCCTTTTTTTGTGTTCAAAATCTCCGGGACTCGTGGCAATGGAAATTCCCCCATAGATGATTTTCCCATTGAAAGCTCCATTTTATAATATGTTATGAATCTATGTGTAATAGATTTCCCATTGCCACTTTCGATTTTTTCAGAGGGTATATATTCATATATAGTCTACATAGTCCCATTGCAGTCTCCAACTCACCAAGTCACCGAGGAACTACCTTACTTCGAGTGATCCCCACGACACACCATTCTGACATAGTTCTGACGTGTTCTGATCTATATAATCTGGAAGTATCTATGGCATCTGGGTAAATTATAACGACCTCACTGTTCTCCCTCACTGGAAATCATGGTTTATGTTAGGGAAATCATCCCCAAATGGCCGCAAGATTCAGGTTAGTGAAATATTATAATTTACCCAGATATATATATATATTCTGACATTCTATCTGATATTCTTTCTGGCACATACTCTGGCATTCTATCTAACATTCTTTCTAGCATTCTATCTGGCATCTATTCTGGCGGCATAAAATCTGACATTCTTCCTGGCATTCTATCTGGCACCTATTCTGACATTCTGGCATTCCATCTGACGTTCTGTCTGGCACTTTCTCTTGTTCGGGTCCAGGCGTGCCTAGCTGCATCCGGAGCTCGCGATATGGCTCGGATCCGTTCATGCCCACAACCACGACAAGCTGGCAGAGGAAGGGAAGAGAAGGAGAGTTGCACCTTTGTTAACATCTAGAGACCCTCACCTGGCAGGCAGGGAAAAAAATCTGAGAGACGCAAGGAGTGTTATGTACATGAGTGGTGTTCATCGGTATTCAATATGTATGGGTCCTGACTGCAGTTGAGATAAGAAAACAATTGTACAATCTATATGGATACAATACATGTATCTACATACACATGTTACACATGTATATACATATAAAGTATACTCATGTGTGTATATAATATACATATATATATAAATATGTACACATAAATATAAATATATATATATAAATACATATATATATATGAGATTTGCGTATATTTTTATGTACATATACATGTTGCAGACATCCCGTACATACGTACGTGCAAATTGACATATATTATACATATACACATGTATGTACATGTTAATATATGCACACGGACATAGACACACGCACACACACACAAAAGCACGTAAACTTACACGTAAGTCTACATAGTGAATCATAGTGTTTACGCATCGTACATATACACACATAATGCATTGGACTTACATACAACACATGTTTCCCAGAAAAATCCAACAGACCCCGAACAGCATATCCCTGGCCACTTCAAGAGGTATATGAACGGATTCCCAAGTCATTTGGGTTGGAGGGACTTGGGGTATGCAGAGGTATCTTCAATTCATCCAATGACAGATGGTTTTTTTCAACCCGAAAATATAGAAACGTGTTTCTTAATGTGGTCTTGAAAAAAACCCTTAGAGTTTTATACACCCTTACTACCCCACCGGGTCACCGTTTGGGGCGACGACGCGAGTTCGTGAGGTCTCAATGTGGAGTTATGGGCGGAGCTTTGGAAAAACTCGCCTGGGGACCTTGGGGGGACCTTGGCGACCTTGGAGAATTTCAGCGGTGACCCGCTGAAAAACCGTAGTGATGAATAGGTGATTAATAGGAAAACCATAGGAACATGGTGGTTTAAAGGCTTTTGATGGTGGTTTAATGGGATTTAATGGGATTAACCATATGGTTATGACTAACGTGGCCATGGAAAATCACAATTTTTAATAGGTCAGGTAAACCATTTATTTCTATGGGCCATCTATACCATGGCATCTATAAATGGGCCAGTTTCCATGGCTATGTTAAATTACCAGAGGGTAACATCTTTTTTACTAATAGGTTATTAGTAGGTGATCACTATAGGTGAGTAATATTAAGGTAATTACCAACAGTGATTCCATATTTTTTCTATTCTGGTGAAAACAATGTAGGGAACCACAGTGAGCATCAGAGAAAACATGGATAAGACTTTCAACCACGGGATGCAACAGCCTTCAAGCCTGAAGACCTCTTGGACATAGATTCAGATATTGGGAGTGTGGGTCAGATGAGACATCCAAGTTCCTTCTTTGTTGAATTTGCTGGGATTGATTTATTGTTTCCAAATTCAATCTTGTCAGTGATTTCTTGTGGGCCGTCCAATAGAAAACACCGTTCATCTCCTGTGACTCTTTCTCCTTACCTATTTTAACTACATGCTACAGTGCTACATATCTGCGTGCATATAGATGTGTTGTTATGTGTTAATTTTATTTACTAACTAATACTAAGATTACTCAGGGCCAATCATAGCGCTAAGGGCCACAACGGTGAACAGTTCCAACGGCAACCCCTTCACCAGCACACTGACTGAAAGCAATTGACACCCCTGTTGGTTGATGATTAGTTCTTGTGTAGTTGTACTATATATGCTATACAATGCAATCATTATATATAATTATATATAATTATATGCATTATCATATACAGTATCATATAGTAGATCCATTCACAATATCATATTGTATATATATATATATACAGTAGATATATCAGAAAATATAGCCCCATATATTGGGGATTGGGCACTAGCGAACTTTCATGATAGCAACTGTTCAGCATCCAGCTCTTGGTCAAGATACTCAGCCAATAGTTATGGTATACCCAAATATATTTCCATGAGATGCCATGAGCATAATTAGATTCTATTTTCAACACAACGATGAAAATCATGATACATCAGTTTTTTTCGTTGATGGCGGTATCCCTTTTTCTCTATCGCATCCTTTGTATCAACCCAGTGCTTAAATCACCACCTTAAATCCCTCGGCGGCCGGTCCCGTTGAAGGTTCGATCCTCCAACGGAGGACTATGAGAAGCTCATGGCCCGAGTGAACAAGGCGTGGCTTTAGATGATGTGTATATCAAAAATTCGACCACTCTCTTTGTATATACACATGCATAGATACATGTATGATTGTGTTTGTTGCGATTATTGCGATTATCATTTATTACTCTCTCTATATATACGTATATAAATAGGTTTGTCGGAAAACGGTGGATACTGGTACCTCAAATTGCCATTTCCGTGTGGAGAATTCGCCGCAAAAAAGGTTGTCAGTCGCTGCCGCGTCCGAGAGCTCAGGAATTTCCAGATGAAAAAGCCCTGCGTCATATGGCATGAACACTTGATTGAAATATACCCTCTGGTAATTTAACATAGCTATGGAAAATGGACCATAGAAATAGATGTTTTACCGAACTTAAAATGGTGATTTTTTTCCAATTCGCTTTTTGTTCACGTTTACCAGGCCGGGTAATGGGAAGGTAGGGGTATCGCTATGGATCAGTTTTTTCAAGACTTGGGAGACCACAGATTTGATCCAATTGTTGGGGTACCCAATTTTGACCATGGGATGTTTTGGGATGTTTGGGTAACATGGGTCATACAATGGGATAGATCATCAACAATATGATAGTTGGGTTTGTCTAACCATGATATACCATGATATATATATAATTATATATATATATATTCGCAACTAACTATAATTCACAGAGTAAATGAGGATTTTTCGCACTGGATTTTGAGGTCCCCTATTCAAAGACAAACCAGTCATTGGTGCACAAAGAAATCGTAAATGTCAAGCATTTGCTGTGGTAGAAAAGTGAGTGTGTTTTCAACAAAACACAGTTCACGTTTGGTAATCTGAGCCTTTTTTCACGCCATGTTACATGTTTAATTTTGTTTAATTGATACTTATTATAATCTTATTAAAATGGGTCATTTTCCGTATCCATGTTAACCATTGTGAACTTACTAAAGGGTACATCCCCGAAGGCAGGCTGCCAAGGGGCCCCAGAACTGGGTAACTACTGTATCCCAAAACGCCAAATTGAACTCAGCTTGGTGAATCCTCAAGGAAATCTCTAGATATCCCCATTTATTTGTTTATTTATATATATATAAATAATTAAATATGTATATGTATATATATATATAGATATGTAATATATATATATATATTACACACATATATATATATAAATAATTTATATACATATATAGATAGATATGTAATATATATACATACCTTCAGCCTCCAAAACCTTCCTTTTTATGGTCGTGGCAGAAACACCAGGTTTTTTTAGAATAACCCGGTTTTCCAGAATCTTAGGTTTTCATCATGTTAGATTACCATCAATGGAATGACTTCGATCCTGTCCATCTCTCATCATGCCCAACTTGACCCATCCCTTTTCCACACCTTTTTCACATGATCAGTTTCGCATCCTTCCATACCTTGTAACAACTCAAAAGATGTCTTTCAAGCGTCCTTCGCATGGTCAATTTCACACTTTCCTTCGACTCAGTCTTGATGTTCGTTCCACTGTGTCTTCATCTTGTTGGCATGTTGCACTCAAGGGGTTCATTGAGAACCCATACTCAATAGAGTCCAGGTAGATGGTGTCCCAAATGTGATTTCACTTGGCCTATTCCGTATCATGGTTCATAAGGCCAAAAAGTATGGCACCAAACTATAAACACATATGATCTAATCAACCAATCCAACATATTCCTCCACTATCTCGAGCAGGAAGGTCAAAATGTGCCTTGGCAATGTTTGGATTTTCAGCAGCGGGGCTAAGAACTATATGGTGAATCCAGAATTCGTATCTTATATCAGAATGGTGGACGTATTGGTTCCAGATAAATTGGGAAAACACTATACACTTTGTGGCATAAACTATATAACAAAACCCTTTAAAACCCAACCATGGGGAAAAACCAGGTTTTTTGAGAATAACCCGGTTTTACGTGATTGAAGTAAAATAACACTGTTTTTATTTTTACACCCTGCCAAGGGTAGATAGATAGATAGATAGATAGATAGATGGATAGATAGATAGATAGATAGATAGAACCATTTTTTAACGGTGTTTTGCCACGTGTTACCTCCATGATATCCCCAAAAATCATCAAGCATCCCTAGATCCGAGTCTTTCTCTCCAATCAGGCGGCGGGGCCATGGGAGGAGGAGGCCCCCATGCGACAGTCTTCGGTGAGGGCCCCGCCCGAGGGAGCCAGATTTTCCAGGGGGGGTCAATGGTTAGCAGCTGGGATTTGATCTATATAGATCTTATATGATCCAATGAAGTGCTTATTCTGTTCGATATTACGTAAATATAGTAATATAGAGTATATACCTATAGTACATCCATATAAGATGAACCCTAAGCAAGTATTCTTGATATAGTATATATTATATACACATGTGTATTCCCCACGATAGTTGGTACTATGTTGCTGATATTGTTAGCGATTCGTTGGGCTCAGTGCTCATAGGACATAGTTGGTACCTCACGACCTCACCCCTAGAGATGTAAACGGCAGGGTTGCTCGTAGAATCCCCCCATGTTTGTGGATTGAAGTAAACATAAGTAAACCCTAAACCCACAAGTTTTGGTGGTTGGAATTTGAATGCCCTTTCCCATACGTCAAAGAGATTTGGGCAACGTACAACCAGGTCTTCTCTCTCTCGACCGCTTGAAATCGGTGAAACCGCCCCTAAAACAGGGCCCCCAGGGCCACCATTTCTGGTTTGGATGACAATTGGATCAATAATTGGATAATTTTTGTGATATTAATTACCAATTATCCCAATTTTCCCAATTGTCCCAGTATAGTAAATAATTTTACGCGCAATAGATTACAACTGATTATATGAGTTGCAATTCTCGCAATTCATGCTAGATCATATTCCCAATAGATATTATACTAATTCTCATCAATTATCCCAACTTTTCCCCATGATAGATCATGATAGATCCATATGTTCCCCATTTTTCCATATTTTTCCCCTTTTTTTACAGGTATTTTCCCATCTTTTCCTATCCCCTAGGCACAAAGTCTCTTGTCTGGATCGGAATCCGTCGTCACCGAGCATTGAACAAGCGGAGACGTTGAATCCCCGTTGAATCCCCGAACGCCAAAGGCGCGGTGAAGAAAGAGGACCTCAAAAAACCCAGCTGGCAATAAGAAATACCAAGTGTTGATGGACCAACCATCTACCCTCTGGTAATTTAACGTAGCTATTGAAAATGACCATTTATAGTGGATTTTCCCATTAAAAATGGTGATTTCCCATAGTTACGTTAGTTTACCAGAGGGTAATTATCTATAGAATTATCATGAATTATATATAATTCATATCAACTAATTATATTATATATATATATATATTATATGTATATTCACTAGAGGTATAGTTTGGGATAAACTAGCCAATTTCCCCCCTGAATGTCGAATATTTACCCTACTCAAAAAATCGCTGATTTCCAGTTGCCAGAGGGTCAGGCACGCGCTTGATACGTATCACCCGAGTAGTCTCTCGTTTCAGCCCTGATGGCGAGCGTATCCCCATATTGATATTTGCGTTGTAATCCATGTGCTTTCTCATTGATGTATCTATTTAGATATGTCTCTATTTATACGCATACAAACTGGCAGACAGACATACGTGCACCACAATCATGTGTCAGACTTAGTTGGGAACCCACTTAATACCAACAATATCCAATAATTGTGTTTCGGTTTAACTATAGCATTTACATGTTACCATGCATTTACAGCCCCCGAGATGATAGTTGACTGCTACATGTTACCATTTATTTCAGCTTGTGCTGTGCAGTCCCATTGTCGTTTACTGAAGTTGTGATTGTGACACTGCCATACCGGGCTGCGCGGTGCTTCAACAAGCAAACAAAATGTCTGGAGCACCAGAAAAGCTGGTTGGTGGTTTCAATCAGATCTATGTTCAACATTGTTCAACTATACTTGGAATAAAAATCCGAGTTGACCAATACCTCTGGGATGGGTTGAACCCACCAGAAAGAGATTCAGCTGTCAGGGGATCTCGAGGACACAGAACCAGTGCAGCAAGCATGTAGACCACCTAGATCTCAGGATCCTTCTAGATTGCTCGTACGTATTTCACACCAAGCTGGGTACAATGTCAGGTCTACCAGTCATCAGCTACGAGGCAAGTCGATGCAAGTGGTACGTCTAAACTGCTCCCTGAGCTTCCTGAGCATGTTAATGAGCCGCCGAGCGCGTTGTGCCTTGTTGCGAGATGGCCGGAGCTTGGTACTTGAAAAGATGAGCATTGCGGAGCTGTCCGCAAATTGCGCCAGTTGAGATCCCTGAAGAACACACTTTAAGCCTCTTTAAGGCCCAATCAGAACTGGAAAATGCCGAATCATTCATCATCATTTCACCAATATAATAAATCTCCAGTCGGATTACCCTCTGGTAAATTAACATAGACCCTGAAAATGACCCATTTTTAGTGGAAACTAACCTTCCAACCCCGATGAGTGCCAGGGTCGAACTGTTAATTTACTGGAGGGTACCCCAATTCGAACCTCGGAAAACGTCAATGTTTCAAGCATCCAGTTGGGGGTTGAACCACTCACAGCGACTTCAGCTTGTTCTCAGCTGGACCCATAGATTCGGGTCATTTTATAGTGCTGCACTCTGAAGATGGGGTACCATGGGGTACCCCTATAAATCCATTGATTAATGCAACAGGTGGAATGTTGCCTTAAAACAAATTGGTCATTTCCGGGTATACACTCTGGTAAACTAACATAACAATGGAAAGATCCACCATTTTCAATGGGAAAATCCACTATGAATGGCCATTTTCCATTGTTTTTTGTTAGTTCACCAGAGGGTATACACCATTTTCGGTATATTAGTGGGTTATTCACATCCATAAATCCCAGCTATGACTTGGGGTTCACTAGGTACCAGGGTTTTGACCCATAGCCATATTATAATATGCACTTCATGTCATCCGGTACCCAAAGGTACCCGGAGGGGGTACGCCCTGGTGATCGCGTGTCAGGAGCTGAACCTTGGCGCCATGGCATGCCATGGCTGGCAGCCCTTCACGCTTCACACGTGAAGTACATCTATTATAATATAGGATATATAAGATATAAATCATGATCACATATATGTATTTAATACATTTTAATACTGTATATATTAGTTATATGTATATATATATATATGTGAGGTTGAGAGATTACATAAGGCATTACAAAATATCACGAAAGGTAGCTTCAGTGGTGCTACCTTCAGTTTTGCTTTACGAAGTAAAGGGGAGGGTGGCCAGTTCCGTTACCTGATTATTCAGGAGGTTGCTGTTCATTTTAGAGACCCCCCCCCCTCCACCCCGTCACAAACCGTAAAATGGGTTTTGTGATTTTTGCATGGACAAATTACTTCTTGCAGCATGCCGAAAACTGCTCGGTGCTGTCCAAAAAACACTGTGAATACCGTGGTTTTTGCTACCAGAAGCAAAAAAACATCATAAATACTGTGGTTTTGGGCTTCCGAGGCAGGAAACACATCGGTATTTACGGTGTTTTTTTTGCTCCGAGAGTCTCAAAAAAAACAAAAACACCAACTATTTGACGATTTTCGGCCACTAGAGACGGGGGAAAAAACTGCAGGGGGAACGGTATCAGTATAACGGTATCAGTATAACGGTAACAGTGACGGTAACGGTAACGGTAACGGTAACAACAACAACAACAACAACAACAACAACAACAACAACAACAACAACAACAACATGAACAACATGAACAACATGAACAACATGAACAACATGAACAACATGAACAACAACAATAACAACTACCACCAGCAGCAACAACAACAATAATAGTAACAGTACCATGGTTTTTGGCCTGTGAGACGCCAAAAACATCGAAATGTGCGGTATTTTTTGGTCCCTGCGAGCGTCACCGCCATCATCAACAACGTAAGGACAGCAAACATTTGAGTTTGCATGCTTTTGTGTTTCATCTTTTTTTGCGATTTGGTTGTGGTGACGCATTTTGCACCGATACGCTTCTACAAACAGGCGACGTCATGCACAGAAACCTGTACACAGAGAAGTTTTTATGCGCAGATACTCTTCCACAGAGAGGTTTGTGCACAGATAAACTTGTACACGCAGACGCCTTTACACACAGAGGCTTTTACGCAAAGAAATTTTTACACAGAAGTTTTTACACACCGATGCTTTGCCGATTGCACAAAGATGCTTTTGCACGCACAAATAAAGGCACACAAGCGCATTTACACAGAACCTTTTACACAGAGAAACCTTTGCACAGAACAACTTTTACGCAAAGAAATTTTCACACGGGAAAACTTTGACACAGAAAAAATGTCCTAACAGACTGCACCAAGAAGTTTTTACACATCATTTTTTTTTACACGCAGAAACTTTACCCAGAGCAGCTTTTGCGCGCGGACACTTTTCCGCGCAGAAGCCTTTACGGACAGAAGTCTCTATGGACAGCAGTTTTTACACAGACGCTTTTGCACACAGATGCCTTTACACACAAAAACTTTTACACACAAACTTGTGCACACAGCACGCTCTTACACACAGCCAGTTTTTACACGGAGAGGCTTTGCTTCCCCTTCTTGATCACCTACCTTTCGTGTTCCCTCTCTCAAGTATACTTAGAGTGTATGTTATATGTAGAGAAATATATATATATAATCATATATATATATATATTCATATATATATATATATATTCATATATATATATATAAATTCATATATATATATTCATATATATATATACAGGATTTTGTATCAATCATTCTCCATATAGTTAATTGAGTTTTGAACAAACTCATGGTCTGCTTCTGCTCGACCTGTGACCGTCACTAAGGAAGGCGAGTATTTCAGGCCAGCTGCCAGGGTGCTTCGACCTGTGGTCATACACAATCTATCCAATATCTTTAAGATTGACGGACGCCTGGAGTTATCATGTAATATCTGTACATATACTACATATATTACATATATATATATATTATAAATATAATATAATATATACATATATATATATATATGTATAGTGTGTACATATATACTTGTTCACCATTTATGTACTCTATATCTAATATCAGACTGTTTTTTCGTGTTGCCTTTTGGCCCGTCCTCAAAACTGGACCGTCCCTTGGTTCTGCGGACAGTGCTGCACTCCCCGCAGATACAAACATGTCTTCGTGAAACCACCAGATGACGAGGCGTGCACGCAGAGCTGTGCTGATGTGCTGATCCTGTTGACCCCGGGTTCACCAGCAAAATAGGGGATGGATCAAAACCTAGTGTCATATTGTATATTGGAAAGCCATTTTACACAATAAGAATATATTCTTATTAACCTACCATTCAGGATGGTTTGTAGCCATCAAAATGCTGAGCAACTGAGGATTTTGTTGGGCCGCCCAGTTGGGGTTCCCGCTGCCAGCGATTCTGCATGTGGCCATCCCTGGCGGGTGGATACGAAACGTGGGAGAGTTGATGGATGTTTTTGCTACCCTCTGGTAAACTAATAAAAAAGTATGGAAAATCACAATTTTTCATGGGAAAATCCTCTATAAATGGCAATTTTCAATAGCTATGTAAGTTTACCAGAGGGTAAAAAACCGCTGCGTTTTTAAGGCCTAAGACAAAACACATTGTTGGTGATATGAAGAATGATGAACACTGCGTTTTTCACTGAAAACATTGAAAACTGGATACGCCCAAGAAATTGATGTTGAATCATCAGTTGCCTTAAACTTGCCAAAAAATGAGGTGTATCACCCTGCACACGCCTGCAGAGACCCAATTGTACCTCACATTCTTTGCTTAAACCTTAGTTTTCTTCCTGTTTTGTTGCTGAACTCCCCGCTTCGGAGGACCGTATGGAAGCCTTGAAGATGGCACAAGATCTCAAATGTGCCGCCTGTGAGGTCCGGAGATGTCTCGGGGCCAAGAGGGTCAACCATATTCAACCATCATCTGGCTTCAACATGGTGAAAACATGGGTTTCACCATGTTTCACCATCACTTAAAATGGGTTTTACCCTCTGGTAAACATACAAAAAGCTATTGAAAATGGCCATAGAAATGGTGAGTTTTCCCAATAAAAATGGTGATTTTCCATAGTTTTTTGTTAGTTTACCAGAGGGTATCATGG